CTTCCCTATGCGTCGCCTTTCCCATCGTCTTCGTCTTTTGGGGGTCTGTGCCCAGCCAATCCACCTTCTTCGCCTCCATCGGGGAAGACAGCGTGGCGTCGTGTGAGAACTTCACACCGATGGACGCCCAGTCAGGGACATACATTGGAGGGTCGATCAAAGTGATGGGGGGACTCGTCAACTTGTCTATGATTACGGTCGCAGCTTGCACGATGAACCGACGCGCGTCGAAGCAGCGATGCATGGATGCGACGAGCGTCGGCTTCGCCGTGAGTTGGACGAAGACCCAGGCGTCATAATGCGCGCGATGATCGTCACCCGCCATCCGCATGAGCCACATGTTCGCCGCGAGCATCATCCGCACCGCGTCGGCCATGGTCTTCAACCTTTCGTGCGACACACGGTCGCCGTCCGTCGCCTCCGCAATGATCACGGCGCTCGTGAAAGCCCCCACCAGTCGCTGGATGCTCGCCTCCTGATAAGCCGCCAAGTCGTCGCCCTCGTGCCTGTCTTCGACGTCGGCGCCCACGAACCACAAAGGCAGCTTCATATCCAAGTCGAGCGTGTGGTGGACGACCATCGGACTCACGCAATGACGCCAGTCCTCCCCCATCTACATCGCGCGAGCGATGTCGGTGGCGACGTGGTTGAGTGCGTACTGGTACGCCGCGTGGTACCCCCTTTGCCTGTTCTGAGACTTGAAGACCCACCCGTGTATCACCCGCAAAGCGATCCCCTGAACCTTCAGCGCCCTTTCCTTCGCAGCGTTCAACTCCGAATCGTCCGTGATCTTGTGTTGCGGGATGCTGTTGTGAGGCAAGATGATGCTGCGACGAATGGCCGGAGGCTGCTCTCCCCGCGCCACAGCCACAAGATAACCGCGCGCCTCCGCGATCAACTTCACGATCGCAAATCCCTCCCTCTCGTTCCAGAAGCGGAGGTCGTCCACCCACAGCTTCGCCGCCGCCTCCATTCCATCCCGCGTATTCCGCTGGCGCAGCCTGTTCACCAATGCGTCGTCGTCGTCCCCCTCCCCCGCGACATCGTCTACCTTCACCCCTGCCGTCGCCCCTTCCCCCGCGTTTGATCCCCCCCCCCCTGCTGCGTGGCCTGCCCTCGCCACCCCCCCC